AAATATGTATTTTAATAAATACCATGATTCAATTAGTATGCCAGCTGTGATGATCAAGAGTCATCTCTGGGGCAGCTAGATGGCGCACTGTGGATAAAGCTCAGGCCTTGGAGTCAGGAGGACCTGAGTTCAAATCAGGCCTCAGACACTTGACACTTACTAGCTGTGTGACCCTGGGCAAGTCATTTAAACCCAATTGCCTCACCAAAAAAAAAAAAAAAAAGAGTCATCTCTACTTTTCTTCAAAGTTCAGCTCGAAAGCCCCCTCCTACATGAAGCCTTTCCTGATCCCCCCCAGCTGCTATGCCTCTCTTTTGATTTCCTTGTATTTATTTTGTATATGCATATACATCAATCAGTCAATCAATAAAGATTTATTAAGTGCCTTCTATGTGCCAGGCACTGTGCTAAGCTGGGAATACAAAAAAGTCAAAATATAGTCCCTACCTTCAAGGAACTAACAATCTAATGAGGGAGAAAACATGCAAACAAATATATGTATGTATATCTGTATGTGTGTATATATATATTTATTTATTTATTTATCCAGCTATGAACAGGATAGTGTGAAGGGGCCCCAGTAATTAGGAAATAATTTAAAAAGGAAAAAAAAAACTAGAATTAAAAGGGGTTAGAGAAGGCTTTCTATAGATGGTGTGATTTCAGCCCAGGATGTCATGTTTTCTCCCACTATAGAAAGTAAGCATCTTGAAGGCAAGGACTGTTTCACTTTTGTCTTTGCATTCCCAGCACCCAATGCAGTGTCTAGAACCAGTAGGCTTTATATATATATTTGTTCATTGATTTTGAAATACTATGCTTTCCCCATTTCTGTAATTTTTTAGAGCCCTGGATATACTTTTGTTTCATCATTCAGAGTAAGATAGCTGTTTCTCTTTAATAGTGTTTGATTTGTCAGTCATAGATTGGAAAGTTGCCCTGGACCGGTGGTAGTGACCATTTTTACCCGTTTTCTAAATTGTGGTGGCTAGTACTCTCCTTCAGCTGACAACTGCAGGGGTGTGGCTTGTGACTTGTTACCCAGAGCCCAGCCTTTGAGAGCTATGAAAGGCCTGCTAAGTCAGTCTGGAATGCAGGTTCAAGAATAACCCTTAGCCAGACCTCAGAGAGGAGAAGAAATCTCTGCAACAAATACTCAGATGAGAAGGTCAGAAGGCTTTGTTTATTTGTTTTAGGCTGAAAGCTGGTTTTCTATAGAATACCTCACTTAAATTCCAGAGGAGGCAGGATGGTGGCATAAAAAGAGTTAGGAATTTTAAGTCCAAAAATCCATGTTCAAATTCTGGCTCTCCTACTTACTACCTGTGGGATCTTGTCCCAGATCTCACCTTTTAGAGTCTGCATTTCCTCACATACAAAAAAAAAAGGGTTGAACTAATTCATCTCCAAGATTCCTTCCAAACTAAACTGATATCTAATTGGATCCTGACAACAGTCAATGATACAACCAATGAGTCCTATCAAGTACTGTACTTTTATTCCCATTTTATAGATGAGGAAGCTGGGTCTAATCTCTCCACAACCTATCCTAGAGCTGAAAATTTGTTCCATATGTGGGGATCTGAGTTTCCCTAATTTCACATATTTTTACATCATGATCTCTAAGGCTGCTTACAACTCTGAAATCCTATGATCCAAAGAACATTGATTGTAATGTTATCAATAAGTACCAGGCCAGATAGGTGGTGAGGTGGATAGAGCACCAGGCCTAGAGTCAGGAAGGCCTGAGTTCAAATCCAGTCTCAGACACTTACTAGTTGTGTGACCCTGGGCAAACCCACTTAACCTCACTTTGCCTCAGTTTCCCTATCTGTAAAATGAGCGGGAGAAAGGAATGGCAAACCACTCCAGTATCTTTGCTAAGAAAACCCCAAATGTCCAAATGGGATCACAGAGAGTTGGACAGTACTGAAACGGGACCTAAGAAGTGAAGGAGTCTAACCTGAACATATATAAAGCTGTTTGTGAAGCAAATTTGTTCCCTGCCTACCGTATTAATAATGCAAATTCACTGTTCACTGTTTGCCAGACTAACTGGGTCAAGGGAGCTCATTGGATCATAGGATCTGAGATTTAGAGCTGGGAGGCACCCTTGAGGTCATCGAATCCACCCCCTTTATTTTACAGAAGAGTAAACTGATCCCAGGAAAATTAAGTGACTTGTTCTCGGAGGTCACACGGGTACGAAGAGGCTCAGGTAGGATTTGAATCCAGCGCCTCTGACCACAAATCCAGAACCCTTTCTTCTGTAACTCTCCGCCTCAAAGAATGTCGCAATTCCAAGCCCCTCCTTCCAAAAGAATCTGAAAACGCTTCTATCCCAGTTACACTGTAACTCATTTTCAGAACCGAAAAAGTTTGAAAAATGATCGAAATCTCTTTTTTCCCACGTGGCCAAATATTTTCCCTAGGGAAACTGTGTCTAGGGTGGAGTGGCCTAGGAACCCAGCACCCCGAGGCAGGGAAGGGACTTGAAAAAAATGTCTCAGCATTGTAAAAGACTCACAAAGCTTCTTTCCTTCCCCACCTTTCTACTCCTCCCTACTTTAATGCTGTGTGTGTGTGTGTGTGTGTGTGTGTGTGTGTGTGTGTGTGTGTTTTACAAGTCAGTAGCTATGAGTCTATTGATGAGCTAAAATGCCACGGTCCAAAAATGCAGGCTCATTTCCCTCTTCGGGTTAGTCCATCCCGTCTTTCTCCCCATTTCTTCAGGCTTCTGAAAAAGCAGCGTCTGCTGCAGCTTTTGTTATTATAAAGCCCGTCCTGGTCCTGGGCGCTGTGGGGCTACTTGCCATTCCCTCTGGTGCCTCGCTGTTTCACAACTGCAGGGCAGGTCCTCTGTGGCTTTCTTTCTCTTTTTTTCCCCTTCCCACCTGACAGCATAAATAACTGCTGGAGAACTCCAGCAGAGGAGAGTTCAAAGTTACAGTAGCTTCCCAGCGCCCCGGCCCAGGCACTCTCTCTCCCCCTCTCGCTCCTGTTTCGCTCGGCGTCCGTGCACACTGGAGGCTGCCCGGCCTCGTGCTTGGAGCCCCCTGCCCAGAGGGTCTTGTCGATTTCATGTAGGCGGTCTAGTGGATTTCAGGCCCAGCTCGGTAGCCCCGGATCGAATTACAGGAAAACTTACACGGGCTGGAGCTGCGCGCTCCGCACATTTACATACAAATAACGCCTCCTGTCCTGGTGCTTAGGTTGGGGGCAGCCAAGCTTGGCCACGAAGTTTTTAATCCAATCAGAAGGAGCTTTAAAAGGATGTCTACAGCGTGATGAGAAAGGATCTTTGCCACAATTAAGTACTGCCGGATGTTTGGCATTTTCTTTTCTCCCCCCACTTCGTTCTGTTGGAAATTTGGAAGATCTGCCGAACTCCGGAGTGTGGGAAACGATGTGGTGTAAGCCCGCCAGCGCCTGCGAAGAGCCCACGATGCTGGGGAGAGCCCGGTGGTGGAGGCGTGGAAAGTGACCCGGCCCGCGGGGCTCAGGCATTCTCTGGTGGTTTGGAGCTCAGTTCGAAATCTCAGCTTGAGGGACTCCTGTGGATCCTGGGAAACGCCCGGAGAGTGCATTTGCTGGTGCTGGTGCTGGTGCTGGTGCTGGTTCTTGTTTTCCTAGCCCAGCCCAGGGGAAAATATGGCTTTGCAACCGAGTAAGGTTTTTCTTTTTAGTTGTGTTTAGTGTCTGGTGTTTGTGTGGCAGTTACAATGTGTGTACGAACAGTCTAACCCTAGAAGAGTTACTTTAATCACTATTAACAAGCCGGCAGGATCTGTTTTATTTACTTTTGTTTTGCTTTGATAACCTTTGCAAACATCATATTTAGACTCAATGGGTAGTTTAGCGCTTTGCACGTTTCCCAGTTGAGCAAATGGAAATTCTGAACGCTAGTGAAGGAAGAAATCGGACAAACTGAGCCCATGAATCACTTGCCTTTGAGACCACACAATAGCGAACTCTTGCAACCTCTCCCGGCCAGCCAACCTTTTTTATCTTCCTTTTAAAAAGGGAAAGGGGGCCGGGAGGGTTGGGGAGTGGATTACAAAACGAAAGAAGGTAGCCTGGCCGAGGTGCTGCTTTTTGTCAGAGCTAGGAAACCTTCCCAAAGGGCAAAGGACCATTTTAAATTTGCCCTGTCACTTGGGGAATGTGGCTTCTGCGTGATGTAATGACATGCACTGGTAGTACGGCAAAGGAGATAGTCCTGTTAACCCTTTCTTGTGGTGGCTTTAGGTTTGCGGAACTCTAATCCCCCTAACTCAGAGGTTGTTTCAAAGCAATTTAAGTTTGCATTTCTCAGTGATTTAAAATCCTCTTCTAATTGAATGGAATATTACATTTTTGCAATTCCAGACCAGTTCCAGTTGGAACATTCACGGCTTTAGACTCGATTTCTCTTCATTGTGTTGTTTTTTTTTTTTTTTTAAATAATTGTGGCTTCCGATAAGAAAGGATTTTATTACTAAAATCTCACCCAACTGGGACCGAAAAAACTATTAGGGGGAAAAGCCTGATCTTTTAGCTTGTACAAATTGGAGAACTGTTGTAGAAGAGGCCGACTTTGTTCTGGAAACTGTCCATTCAAACAAGTAGCTCTCATCACTGTCTCTCTTTTAGGGTGTAATATCCTGGAGCTCTAGACACCTCAATCAGATTTTTTTGGCCAGAATATATCTTTCGGGGGAGCTTGGGGCACTGTCTTTCATTGGTATTTGGAACACAGGAGCAGCTTCTACTCTATGAATTTTATTTTATTTTGATTATATACTAACCTCTACCTAGGTTTCTTTTCTCTCGAACTTTTTTGCTAGACAATTTTCATTCTTAGGTCGAAATTTCAAAAAGCCTTGGGGGTGGGGAGGAGAAAGGAATGCCAATTGATTGTTTCTCTGCTGGCAGCCGGGGTAGGAACAGGGCTTGTAATAACGGCTTTGGCCACGAGGGAAACAGGAGCCTTCTGATTTTTGCTCACTTTGTACTGGCAGGTGAAGATGCAATGACAGGGGATACAGACAAATATCTTGGGCCCCAAGATCTCAAAGAGCTAGGAGATGATTCTCTGCCCGCGGAAGGATACATAGGCTTCAGCATGGGAGCTCGCTCAGCCAGGTATTGTATTTTGGCATTCCTTTTTGCTCCCAGACAACCATGATGGATCCATAAATTGAGTTTTTGTGCCACATTCTCCAGTATATATTCTTGGAAAGAAGGCTATACATTTCCATGCAGTGGTGACCTTTTCAGCACACATGCGCAGCTATTCTCTTATATGATTTTTAGTCCAGTCAATTTTGTATGGCTGAGCATCCTAACTGTTTTTTCCCCCCTCTACAGTCATAATTCAGACCTATAGCAAAAGAACTGGCAAGAAAAATTGAGACAACCAATGCATTTCAGAGTAAACTGGATCTGTATCTAAAAGATATCTTATTTGAAAGATGCAGTTCAACGACAGGAATTAAAAGCCTGATATTTGCAAGGCACTGTTGATTGGTGATTTATCAGTATTACCCCATTCTTTCTGAAATCTGAATAATAATGAAAACCCACACTTACAGTTAAAAGTGGGCGTTGTAAGTCTATTTTTTAAAAAATTTTGATGGTGAAAATTAAGAAGAAAAATAGCCTGTGCCGTTTATCCTAAAAGCTATTTTATAAGCATTTTTGTATGTACTTGAAAGCATTGCATTATTTTGTTTGACAAGGAAGACAGCGGATGTTAGACCTTTGTGCAAAGAATGTGATGGTATGTGAGGGTCCTCAGACTTCTCACACAATGGAATGCTACCGATTTGCAGTCTCTGTGTCCTAACTGAAAAGGTTTGGCTTATGGAAAACCCTGTACTTTAAAACTGTGCACTGCTTAAGAGAAACGAGACTCCGTGCTCTGTTTGGAGATTGCTTTGCCCTGTTGTGGATTAACAGTGTGTTTGCTGACAGTCAAGTTATTTTGAAGCTAATAATTAAACCTCCCAAGCCAGAGCCCTGGGGACATTTTCCTATAGTTTAATGATCTGTTGTAAAGTTTCATTGTATCTCAGTGAATGAATGGCACTTCCCACAAAGTAAAGCTTGGGTGTTTGTCCTCAGTCCTGTGTGCTCCTAGGCTAGGTTGCCTTAGATGTGGAAGACATCATTCTAGGGGGACTGTCTCTCTGTATTACAGTGTCTCTTACAGTATTTCTAAATTCTCGTAATCTGATAAAGTTTCCAGTTCATAAATACTTCTGTTAAGAGGCCTTAAAATAGTCTTAATGGAGTCTGCAGAGTGACTAATCAAAGCCATAGCAAGTGAAAGTGTTTGAAAACAAAAGTTTTAACAGTGAGTGCCCATGCTAATAACTCCTACAATCAAGAATTTTTTTTTGAAGACCAGTGCTTACCTGTCATACAATGCCTTAGCATAAAGATAGAGTGAGAGAACATATGTAAAGCTTTTTGCAAACTTTAGAGGGCTATAAAAATGTTAGCAAGGCATCATCATCAACATCATCACTGTTATTATGGTTCTGTTTAGAGAGTTAACTGTTACACTGTGTCCAGTATTCAGCTGTCTTCCCATCCCGTTTCTGTGGGTATATCAATGTGGAGGCATGACTTTGGTGCTGACATCCACCAGAGGAGACCTGAAACAGAGAGATTTCCCTAAGACATCAGGTTTTGGTTTTGGTTTTGGCGTTTTGAGGGAGTGCTAAGGCTTTCACATTTCTGATTTCAACAGCACCATTATTATTTGTTGCTACTTGTAATTCATTTTTACATCAGCATAGTATACGTATGTTATGCTCAGACACAAAAAATAAATAACTAAAAAATAAGGCTCGAGCTCTGTGAGGCCCATGGTTTCAAAACAAAACAAAATAGTGTTGTGAGTTTATCAAATAAAACTATTCTGAGTGTAACATTAAAAAAAAATGAAAACATAGAATGTGTAAGTCACTCAACCATACATTTTTTCTTTTTCTTCTCTGATTCTTTGCTTTCTATTTCTCCTACTTCTTCTCCCCTATAAATTCTTTAAAATAGTCCTAAGATCAGGTAAGAAGACTTGTGGCATCTTTATTGCATCTCTCCCCATCCCCCCTCTGCTTATTTTTATTTTTATTTCTCAGCATTGTGATGTGTCGTGATGTGATTTTATTTTGTGCTCAGCTTTAGCAAGTTTCATGATTTTCTGCAAATTAACACGTGACTTGATTGGCAAAACCAACGAATTGGGTATGAAAATATTGGAAGGAGTTAAATGAATGCATAAGGACTGTAATTCAATTAACAAATTGTGTGAGGTGCATGAGATCATGGGAGATCTTCAAACTGATAAAATGATTGTCCTAAAGGCCTGTTTGTTTGCTGGGTGCTGTCTCATTTGAGTTTTTAGGAACATAACACATTTTTAGAGACATGAGGCATGTGTTTTTCTAATATTTCCTACAAATAACTTTCAGGGTATCCTGACAGCCACACAGTTTACCATAATAACACAATTTTAGGCCTACCGCTACCCCAAATCTGGGGGCAAGATCTCTGGCTTTGGGAGGAAAATCTATGCTTATATATTTGAATAAATCAGAGTAAAACAAATTGAGGGTTAGAGGCAAATTCAGACTAAGCTCTAATTTGTCAGCTTGAAAAAAAATCAACGCCTCAGACATCATGCTCAAAATGAAAGCATGTTTTCAGGCTTATACCCAGTGTCTCTTTTTTCTAGTTATCCCTCCTGCCTAAGTTAGGAGGAGATGGTGGAGGTGTCAGGGAATGTTTGACTTCTTTTTTTTTAGTTAGAGATTAGAGATTCCTTTCACTGACGTGATCATAGATCTCAAGCTAGAAAGACCATCTAATGTAACCCCCTCGTTTTCCAGATGAAGCCTAGGGACTTGCCTCAGGTCCCACAGATAGCGTGTTTTAGAAGCAGGATTTGAACCCAGATCCAGTGACCCCAGCCAGTACTCATTCTTTCCCCTGTGCCACTCTAATCTATCTCCTCTATTCCCCTGAATAAAGAAAGGAGTCAAATAGCTCAAGACTGAGAAGAATAATCACTGTAGGCTGATGTGGAGAAGTCAGTGACTAGAAAGCCATTGCAGATGGGGGATTGGGCCTTTGTCTCTTATCAAGAAATTAGGAGAACCGTTGACCACCTTTGGCCACTCCCTTTCTCTTATCTCCTAGCCCTTAGCTTAATCCATGGATATAATTGAGTGTCCTCCAGGAAGGGAGGACTTCGATCTATTAATGCTCTAATAGTTATTACCCAGCTGAAAAAGCTCCCACTTCCCTTTCTGTACTGGTCTTCTGTTAGGGCTTAGGCCTATTCCTTAGTGTTGTTGTGGACCTTTGAGGAGTCAGTCTTGCCTTTGACTTGGAGAACAAAGGATCTGATAAATTTATTTATGTGAAGTCCTTTAGACCTTCACATGTTGGTTCTCCCAGAGACTTTGAAGAAAGAGCAATAATTCGATTCAACATGAATTTTTGAAGAGACTTCTAGGTTCTAGGTTCTATGCTAGGTTCTGGGGTTGCGGAGTCAAAAATGAAACAGCCTCCGCCCTCAAGGAGCTTGTATACTCTGGAGGGGTTGGTCATGGATGCTAGACCTCCAGGCATCAGAAAGGGAGATGTGATTGGGTGGAAGGCTCTTCCCATTTCCTTTCCATTCACAACATGTAGGTGAAGTAGCTCTAAAGCTTGAAAGGACTTAAGAAGTGATCTAGTACTTTATCACTTTCCAGATGAGGAAACTGAGTCCCAAGATAGCCGACTCAAGATCAGGCAGGCAGTGTCAGAGGTGGGGTGTGAGCCTCTGACTCCTGAGTCCGGGCTCTTTCCACTGTCCCTCACTGTCCCTAACTGTTCTATTTCCCACCCCACCCACCCACCCCCACTGCCTCAGTGCTTGGAAAACAATAGTTGCAGACTCAGTTAACTCCCTGTCCTTGAGAAGTTTACAGTGTAAAAGGAGAAGGACATGGTATAAATTATGTTGCATTATGGGTAGGAAATGGGAATGTCTGGATGTTTTTACCGCTACGAATCAGAGGCTAACTTGGGGCAAGTAGTTGAGTGTCCCAAGAACTAGGGGTAGGCATTAGGGTCACACAGCCCAGCAGGTGGAGGAGGAGACAGTGAGGCAGATGTGCTGGAATGACTGGATGCCCTTAGCTCATCCACCATGAATTCAGTGGTCATATTGAGCAGAGTTTTGAAGAGCAGAAAAAGACATGGTTTCCTTGGGAGTAAGGGGTAGTGGCACAGTGGACAGATCCTGAGCTTGGAGTCAGTAAGACCTGAGTTCAGATACAGCTTGAGATACTAGCTGTGTAACCCTGGGAAAGTCACCTAAGCTCTGTTTGCTTCAAATTTCCTCCACTGTAAAATGGAAATAATAATAGCATCTTCCTTATAGAGTTTTAAAGAACACATTAGATAATATTTGTAAAAAGTGCTTAGCATGGTGTCTGGCTCATTGTAGATGCTGTATAAGTACTTATTCTCTTCCTTTCCCCCTTTTTCTATTTTTCTTCCTGCTTCCCCACATACCCCTTAACACCTGTCCCCGATATCACGGGTTAGGAAGGGCCAGATAAGATCAGCCCTGATTCAAAAGAGCAGTTATGGCATCCTTACCACAAAAAAAGTATAGGAAATAGAGATTGGGAGTAGAGAAATGGTACTGAGAAGATTGAGAAAAGTTAGGATGAAGACTGGGCAGAAAGCAATCAAAAGAGAGGAGAAGGAGAGTAGTTAAAATTGAAATCAGCTGAAGACAGTGACATCCTTGGGAAAGATACCACTTGACTTTCTCCTGAAAACTGGCCGGTCCCTTGGGGACAGAAGTCAGACATCTGTCCACTGGAAAGAGGACTCCTTTCTTTGATTCTGTATTCTCAGAGCCTAGCCCAGTACCTGGTAGGCTCTTAATAATGTCTGATGATCCGTCAGTTGATTCTTTCCCTCTGTGAGTGGCAAATAACAAAACAGAGGCCATCCTCCAAATGTCAACAAACTCCATGTTGATTCCCAGGTTCCCCTATGCATGGAAGTACCATCAAATCCAACAACCATAATTCTTAAAAGAGAAAGAGAAAGAAACAAAACTCAGTAGGTGTGGCCATGAGGGTTAGCTCAGAAGCACCCCTCAAAACCAAGGCACCTGTTGCACCAGAAAAAAGGAAATTCCTGACATGAGTGTGCTCTCTGATTCAGATTTCAGATCCCTTCATTCACTAAAGGGGTCAGACTTTTCATCACTGCCCTCTTCCTTCCATTTTCATGGTGAAACATCTGAAGAAGTCCATGAATGTCATCTCTTTACCAACTTTTTTTTAAACCAGTTGGCCCAATTTTAAACCAAAGCTAGTCATAGGGAAATTTTAACCTGAAAACCTTTTCGCAGGATATGAAACATTCCATTTGTGTTGTCTCCATTTGTGAGCCTTTTTAGTTGAGGTTCAGTTGATCCTTTCAATGAGTCTCATTTTTGGCTGTTCCCTAGAAGTTGCATGCATTAATTTCTTTTTTATTCATCTCATCACCATCATCTGGCACTGTTGAATGGTTAACTGTAAATACAACAGCCTCCGCTCCTTCAGTTCGGATAGGTCTTACACACTGAACCGAAGCTCTTATGCCCGGGACAGCATGATGATCGAAGAATTGCTGGTGCCATCAAAGGATCAGGTAGGCGTTCATTTTTATTGCCTTTAATTATTCAGTTCCTCTTTCTGTTAATTGTTTGTAGAGTGACACTCTAGGGCTGCATTTCTCCCTTTGCTTTAAACTTTGGTTAAGCCAAGACAATGGTCTGATGATTAGTCTTATACTTGTTGCTGAAAACCAGTTGAGAATTGTTGACCCTTGTCAGGAAAGGAATTAGATAGAGGATAGAGATAGGGACTGGACTTATAATTTCATTGATACAGGGAACTCCTAGATGAGGAAGTGTCCTCTACCAGTGCAAGTTGGCACCTTTTCTGCAACTTAAAGTTTTTAAGAATTGCCAGGGGGCACTGAGAAGTTAAGTGATTTGGCCAAGGTCACATACCCAACATGTGTCAGAGGCTAGGCTTGAACCTGTGTCTTCCTGACTCTAAGGGATAGCTTTGCATCCATGACTCCATGCTGCCTCTAGGAAGGAAATACTGGTAGAAATAGGTGTTAGGGTGAATGTCTCACGGTGTCATGAGAGCTCTGTTGAGGGAACTTTCCCATGGGAGTTCTAGCTTTTATCAGTAGAAGCTGAGGGTCACAACATAGTTGCGTGGCAAAAATAAGGAAGTCTCCCAGGACCTCTCCTTTGCTGACATGCAGCTCCCACGGTTGGTTTGGCTCTCCTCTCAATGGGAGATGAGTCCTGACACGAGCTCCAGCAGACCTGATGATTGGCTATCACAGGGGGATCACGCTTTGAACAGGCATCACTAGGGCTATAAAAGACAGCTACCTGCACTCAATAAACGGAGCTTCTGCCACCTTGTTGTCTCCCGCCTCATCCATGCGTCTCCGGGTTACAGAGCACTGAGCTGGTCTCATGCTCGCCACTGCAGCGGCCGAGACAAATAGGGATTAAAAATGGTCCCTTCTCTTCTCTAGGTAGGTCCCCAGAAGCCGAGAGGAAAAGTCCCCAGGCATCCCTAAAAGGACCATCTTGCCGTCTCATTTTCACTCCAACCCCAGTATGAATTTTAGAAATAAAATATAGACCCTAGTTTGTTCTAGTTGATATTCAAACCCGCAAGAGTATATATTGAGCAGCCATTACTCAAAGACTCCCTCTCATTTCATGATTAATCATGAAAGATTATTCTTGGTTAAAAAATATTACTAGATCAGCCTTGCGTTGAGTCTCCAGCTTTTGAAGTTGCTCGTGATAAAAGACTGAGCTTCAACATAAGCTTCCCATTGGGACTGTGACTTCTAGGCAGTTAAATTCCTCTTCCATTTATGTGACTTCCTTAAAACCCTGGGTCTTTGCAATAACATAGAAAATAAATGCTCATTGATCGATTGATTGAAGCCACAGGCAAAGAGCTGACAGAAAACAAGAATCACTTTGGGGGGTGGGGCCAGTAGAGACTCGGACCTAAATTGGGCTGCCCATTTGGTGATCTAATTTGTTTGGACCAGAAAGCTACTTTTCCGGGAGGTTGACTTTGTACACTGCAAACCACCTCTGGTCATTCAGCAGCGTTATCATGAAAGTAACTAGAATAGGCAGGTGGGAGATTGTCTGTCCCAGCCCAGTTAAAGGTTATACATTAGCAACCAGGACCTGAAGGCTCTCTCCTGTCTAGAGATGTTGGTTCCCAGACAGAGCTGCACCAGAGTGTATACTGTACTTCACAAGACAAATACCTTCAGTAAATATTCTGTTGTTTTATGCTAACTGGAATGTTCTCAAGACCTCGGCCTTCCGGCAGTGAATGTTGTGGTTATTCAATATTCTGACAGACAAAAGTCCATTGTAAAAGCATTGCAGGTGTGGTCATGGTTCACCAGCAAGTCTGTTTCAGGGCAGTTTTTGAGGCAGTTTTTGTAGCCCAAGTATAGACGATGATGCGTCCATCTCACCTGCTGGACTGTGGCCACTTGTCAGAACCTGGTAATTCCGTGACCTCCACGTACAAGATGGAAAAAATTGAGCTATTGGAAAGTACTTACTCTTGGGATAAAAGCATAATGCTAGAGCTGAAAAGGACCTCAAAGGCCAACTAGTTCAAACCTCCTTTTTTTGGCAAATGACAGAACTGAGACAAACAGAGATGAAGTGATTTGTCCCGGGTCACATAGGTGGTAAGTTACAGAGGTGAGATTTGAACTCAGGTCTGATAGATCAAGTGATAGGTTAATATTAGTGAAGAGCACTGGGCCTGGAGTCAGGAAGACCTGAGTTCAAATTGGGCTCAGACACTTATTAGCTATGTGACCCTAGGCAAGTCACTTATCTTCTAATTGCTTCGATTTCCTCATCTGTGAAATGGGGATAATAATAGCACCCACTTCCTAGGGTTGTTGTGAGGATCAATTGCGATATTTATCAAACCTGGCATATATATAAAGAAAATATGTATATGTATATAGTAAGTGCTATAAAAATGTTGGTTATTATTGTTACTCAGGATATAATTGTAAGAATGTTCAGAGGATACTATGCCTCAGTGAAGATTCTTACAAGAATTTGCTCAAGTACTTTTATCCTTGATGAAGACAAGAGACACCTGGATAATCTTGATTTAGTGCTCAGGAGCTGAGCAGATTCTTTAAGGCAACAATGACAAACAGATTCAGATAAATGATCTTGACGGGGTTCGTGCAGATGGACCTGCTTGGAGCAGGGGGAGGGGCCACGTCCCAAACATTCGCCTGGTTTCAACATGTGAATCATTTAGTGGTGTATAAATATTTTAGCAGTAACACAAACAGGAATCCCAGGGTTAGTCATTTCTATTCATACCCTTTTCTATTAGCTCCTTCCCAGACCAACTTGCTCAGAAGATGTAAGGGGCAACATGAATGCAGCTCCAGGTATTAGGACCTGGTAATAGAGGACCAGAGGGCTTCTGGGTAGGAGAGCTTTTGTTTTCCATTCAGCTCCTGCTCTGGAGGAGAGCTCCCGTCATTGGCGTAGACCCTTGAAGTGTTGAGCATCAGGAGGCTATAGTGAATCACTCATGATGACTAATGACTCAGGATTTCAACTTAATTTAATTAATTAAACTTAATTTAAACTTAAACTCAGGTTTAAGTAGAGGGGAAAATAGCATCCACGAAATGGCATGATCAGGAAAGGAAGTTGGTTTGACTGACAAGTAGCAGTAGTTGGATATCCCTGGTGCTGTCCTGGGCCCCCTGGAATATTCAGAGTCCCAAAGTCTCTAGCACATGGGGAGATGTTCTTAGCCGAGGATTCCTGGGAGGGTGTAGAAAAGAGTCACGCGAGAACAGAAGGCTTGGAGCTGGGTCATAGGTGGGAGCTGTAGCCAGATGGAGGAGGTCACAGAACCACTCAATTATTGAGTAATCATGCATCCAGTCAGTTTCATTGGCATGTTGAGTCCATGCCTCTGATGTCATTGGCATAGGAAACAGGTGACTATTCTGCCCTCACTTAGTCTGTGAGGCCTTAATGTTCATTAAATGCCTCCAAATCTATATATCTTTTTTACAATTACTGAATGTCAGAGATAGAAGGGACCTGGAGATCAGCCAGTTCAAACCCCTCATTTTGTAGATGATGAAAAGAGGCCTCCAAGAGTGGAAATGATTTGCCCTAGCTAGTTAAATGTAGAACTGGGAAATGGTACTTGACCTTCTGGTTCAGTACTCTTTCCATACGGTTTGGAATGATGATAATACTTCAAGGACACTTGTTTCCTCTGTATAGGCGCTGGTTCCATCAGCAGAAACTCCAGTAAGTGTTTATTAAGCACCTACTGTATGCCAGAGCATTCTGCTAAGTGTTGGGGATGCAAGGAAGGGCAAGAGATCTTGATGAGTTCACAATCAAATGGTAAATAGTCTGAGTAACAAAACCAGAAGAAATTCACCCCCCATCAGCCATCCTGGTGCCAGTGGGCAGTTCCAAAGAGGGTAGTCCCAGACATCACACGTGCAGTCTGTCACCGGTTGGGGACAAGGAACCTTCTTAGCTTGGTAGGATTTGAATTCTGCTGGCTTAGCCCGCAGAAATGCACAGTGATGTGACCTTGGAGTGAGATGTTACCTTCCTATCAGTCTTTATAATTGCAAAGCCCATTTCCATATATTATCTCCATTTAACCTTTTAAACTATTCTCTATTGGGTCGCTATGGGGGTGTCCAGTAGATAACATACTTGAAAATACTTCCGAAACTATAAATCTGGATACAAATAAAGACTCCTATTATTAGGTTCCCTAGTAAAGATTTTTTTTCACCCAGGTACACCCATAGCTGGAACCACCCCTTGCAGAGCAAGTGGGAAAGCCAAAACAAAGCTGCCTGACATTCCTGTCGCGGACTTGTTCTCTCATTTCTTGTGGCGTAACTGTTGAAGGAAAAAGTCTGATGTGGCTTCTGTAATTAGCGTATGCGTCTCAGCTCAACACGTTCCCATTACCTAACTCGTGTAATATTTACTAGATGCCTTCAACCTCTCCAGTGCAAGGTAGGGCTGTGTAGTTACTAGAAGGAATTAAGCAAAGAAGAGACACAGTCTTTGGCCATGAGGATATACTGCTGGAGACTGATTCAGATGTAAGAACCGTTCTTCAGCACAGAATATAGTGCTTAGACTTACTTAGCCAGGTAGGGATTGACTTAGGCAGTATTTTTCAGGAATCATTCAGCAAGCATTGGCCAAGCACCTCCCCTGGGCTGGGTGCTAGGGATTGTAAAACCTCTATCTTCAGGTAGCTTGTATATATAGAAGACAAGTATGTGGAGAAGTAGAGACAAAATTCAGGTGCCAGGTCATTTCCAGGGTTAGGGAGACGCCAATAGCCAAGGAAATCAGGAAGGCCTGATGTCGGAAGTGGAGTTTGAGCTGGACTTTGAAGGAAGTGAAGGATTCCAGGAAGTGGAGGTAGGGAAGGAATGCATTCTTGGCATAGAGAACATCCTGTGTAAAGCTACAGCCACCGGAGATGGGTTGCCAGATGTGAAGGTCAGCAAAAAGGCCACTTTGTATCAAGGTTGGAAAC